ATATATATAAAATACTGATAGAATATATAAGCAAAGACCACTATCATTGAAAGTGTAGAAATAGAGCTAGATGGCCTGGCCCTTGACACTAATAAATCAAGTATCCTCTCTCAGGACCTCATTATGCATATGTAACTTTAGTTAATACCTCCTTGACTCACACAGATTTATAGTGTTTTATTCTGTACTGGCACCTTGTTAGATCTTAGTGCTGAAAGACAAACAAGACACTAGTATAGACCATCAAGGAGTTCCTCTCATTTGTATGCAGGTGAACATGTGTGCAAATACTTGATACGACATGATCAACACTGTTGTTGATCAAAGGTGAGAGAAAAGAAACAGTCTTTCTTCCAAACTTGAGACAGTCTTCTCTATTGCTGTTTTAATGAACTATGAGTACATATTACCTCATTGAAGTATTTTCATCAAATGAATGTAACCAAAACCTAATTAAGGTTTTAGGTATAAATTCTAGCTAACAAGATATGAAGAAATTAAAAAGAACAAGTTGATTGACTCTATAACAAAGCATCAGACGTGTACAGAGGTGGAACATTCTAAAGACTGCTTGGCTGTATCACTTCAACAGGTCAATATTCTGTAGACTTACAAAGGTGAAATGACTCTTTTTGACTAAAAGAGACAAAAGTACTCTATATAATCCTAGATTATACCCTGGTTTATAGAAAATAATTATAAATGTTATGAAGACAAATAGTAATTTGAAAATGGTGTGGTTATTAGCTGATATTAGAGAAATATCAATTTTAGAAGTATTAATGATTTACTGATTATATTGGAAATATTCTAATTTTTTATAGCAATGATTTGGTGAAAGGTCATGTTGTCTGTATTCACATTATAATGCAATGGTGAAAATGTGTAACTACAACAGAAATGTTAGTTGATAAAATTATGAGATAAATATATTTATTTAGACTTTTCTAATTTTCCATGTCTGAAAGTTTTCATAATATGCTAAAAGGTAAATAACAGAGTATATTTGAAGTTATTTTGTGAACCTTAGATAGACATATAAGTTATAACAAAGCATTGGAAAAGGAGGACTGGTCTTTCTCAAGAATGTGCAAGACTGGATTCTCTGCTAACAATTCAACTTCGCCATCACAGAGGTGTCTTCAAATCATAAGTTTAAACTTTTTAATATCTTCTCACAGGACTGAAATAAGAGAAGGCAAATGTCTTCTTGCTGCGAAAGGCAGGCTAGAGCAATGTGAATTCATTCAAAGAGAACTAGAAAACCAGTAACCACTGAGAGAGTAACCAACGGCCTTCCTTTTTTTCAGAGCAGTAAGATTTGGTGCCCCAAACAGAGATCCGAAGCCATGGGTGACTGTCCTCACTGTGCTGTCCTTGATGGTGGTGGTAGTGACCACTGGACTTCTCACTCACTCCTTAGTCTCTGGTAGGTAAAATTAAGGGTCTCATCTTCCCACATAGCACACCATGATTTTATATGTGAATGAAATCCGTAGTTTTACCTGAGACTGTCCTCAATTAGAATATTTAAAGCTTGCTCTGTTGTTTCATCAGCAAAAATTACTGTGTTACTAGTAAATGCAAATTTTGAAGTGTTTAGGTTACAATATTTTTTCAGAAGCTACATATAATATAAAATGGTCATTGTAAGTGATCTATTTGTAGTCATACTAAGCAATTCTAACTATTCATTGTCTATTGAGATGAAAAATGGCAAATTGCAATCAAAATTGACTTTTTTGGTGACCATTTTTTTTCTGCCCACCAGAATTTCTAGGACACAAAAATCACATGTCTAATGAAATCATGAGTTTTAAAATCATGGGTAAGCTGTAAGTATGACACAATAGTATCACTTATGTGTAGAAAAAAAAAACTACCTTCCCAAAACAATAGTCAAGGGTTTTGCTTTTATTTATTTCTGTATTTATAATAACACAAATAATGCATTTTGAAATTTTCTATATGGCAACTTTCTTTGCAAATTATAAACCATTTACATATTTGATAAATCTCTACAATGACACTCTCACGTTATATACATGTGTGATAAAAATGACAAGTTCAAGATCACTACCTGAATAATGTTATCTATTGTCATCTTCAAAGACTTGGTAAGGTAATGCCATCTATTAAGAGATGAAAAAAGCTTTCTACAGATTCCTGGGCCACATATTACAACCTCAAAAGTAGTTTTTACTAATTTCAAAAGATACACAAATCAGTTTATTTGATTGTTCAAAAGCATCCTTACTGCAAAAGTAAGGTTTGATAATTAGCTCTACTCTCTTTTCTTTACTGATGACCAGAGATCTAATTAATTTTCCTGTAACACACTGTTTTCACCTACAAATTCTAACAGCCTTTCTCTTCGTATTTTCTTAATTGTGCCTTGGTATGTCGCTACAAAGAAACATACACAAGAATGTTCAATTATCCCTACTCCTGGATGGTTTGCACGTCAATAAAACAGGAAATAAAGTAGCAATGAATGCATAAGCTCTAGAAACATACTATAAGATTCAAAATTTGGATAGGTCACCTATGAGTTGTATAACAAATAGTAAGTTATTTAATGCTACTGTGTTTTAGTGTCCTCTATAAAATGGAGGCAAGTTTAATCATTAATTTTTTTTATGTGTATGAGTGTTTTTCCTGCATACATGTAAATGCACCTGTGTCACTGCATGCAATGCCTGTGGAGACCAGAAGAGGGTGTTGAATCCCCTGGAACTGCAGTTACAGATGGTCATTATCTACCATGTGGATGTTGGGAACCCAACCCAGATTCTCTGCAAGAACATCCAGTGCTGTTACCCAGTGAGTCATCTCTCCAGCTCCAGTAACTCCAATCTTAAGAGAGCTGGACGAATGATCAAATAATATGTGTGAATAGCACAGAACAGTGCTATTCAGAGAGTAGACACTCAATAAATGTCAGCTGGTATTATTAACACATTTGTTTTCTGTTTTTTGGTTTTTTTGTTTGTTTGTTTGTTTTTGAGACAGGCAAGATCCTCCTGCATCCCCAGCTGACCTTGAACTCACTGTGTAGACCAGGCTGGCCTTGATCTCACAGAGATCTGCCTGCCTCTACCTCTCAAGTGCTCGGACTAAAAGCATGTGCCACCATGCCTGGCCTAGTTATTTTTATGAAATTCATCTAGAAAGAAGTTTGGCAATACATTAAGTCTTCCTATCAGCCCCTTTATAGCAAAGTCTTAGATCCTGAAGCCTATGCATAAATCATGTAATATTTTAATTATCATTTTTATCACAGGCCAGAAAGTGGAATACTATCATGGAACTTTTATAATTTCAGGTACTCAAGTCAATTGCAGTTCTGGAGGAAAGAGTTTATATCAGTTTAAAGACTTAAGGGAGACGAATGAAAATTTGGTAAGTCAGACAAAATTCTCCTTTTCATAAATTACCACAAGAATTTTGTGGAATATGTCTTTTATTTCTAAAAACATAGCTTTCAGACCACCTGCATCATAGTAATCTCACAGATTTCTAGTACCTCCCACCCCAAGCCAACTAATGCTGTATCTCATGGAATGGGTAAGTGGAAAGAGTGGAGTAAGGGAATCTACCTGTTTAATGAATGGGAACTCTGATGCAAATATCTTCTTTAAAGATGGAGGAATTGATGCCAGGGAATCCAGCCTATTGCTCCTCCAAACTTTCCCTAGCAGGTTTCCCTAGTAGAAAAGTCTAACAACAGCTACACTACTTACTTAAAATAGTGGCCTTTTAAAACCTTTATTTTAGCTACTTTCAAACAATATATTTTGATGTTATTTAGATTCCCTCTCTTATCTGCACCTCCACTTATTGCCCTTGCCCAATTTAATGTACTCTATTATATATTTTAAAAAGCTATAGAGTCTAATTTATGTCCCCAAATGTCCTTCAGTTTGAATCCATCCACTGATACCTAGTCAACCTAGCAAGAGTCCCATCCTTGAAAGAGACTGACTCTCCCATTCTCAGCAGCTGTCACATGCCAGTGGTTCCTTAGGTTGGGTTGGGATTTCTTACCCACTTCCCCACATCTATGCTGGGATTTTGTCTGGTTTGAGTTTGCATGGGACTTGTGCATGCTGCACCATTGCTGTGTGTTCATGTGAGTACAGCATCTGCTGCATGAGGAAGCTTCTCTGGAGAGAGCTGAGAGATGCATTGATCCTGCCAAGTTTGGAGGGAAACATTATACAGTACCTTTAAATAGATATGAAATGACAACAAAAAATATCCAATTTTCTTTTCAAAGGCATTATTAAAGACACAAAGCCCAGACCTAATATGTAATGTTTGTGTTTAATACTAAGAATTTTGTTAAAGCTAAAGTTCAGGACTCTCCCTCAAAGAAGAAAGTATAGCCAGTTGTATAAAGTTCTGTTGAGAATGTCCATAAATCCCCACTCAAAACATCTCAGCTTAAGTTGTCAAAAGCATGCGCAGAGTCCATGGTCATTTAAAATGGAATAAATAATGGTTATGTTAATTTATTTCAGTCAAAGCAAACATTTTTTCTCAAAAAGCTTCCTTTCTTTCTCAGATAGGTTGTCATTTCCACTTGCTTCTTGTCTGCAGCATGCAGATTACAGCATACTCACAAAAATATTACAGGTCATGTTTCTAATCTATATTATCAATAAACATTAAACTGTGCATCTTTTATCTTGCAATTTTATCTCCCAACAAATAATGTTTACAGATTAATGGATGCCCTTCCATCCTTTTATATTTTTTCCATTCTTTTATATCCAGACATCTGGGGAAATGGAATTAGCAATCAGTTCTTAAGGAACACCAGAATGAAGTGTGTGTGTGTGTGTGTGTGTGTGTGTGTGTGTATGTGTATTCCAATACCTCCCCAACTCCTCATAAAACTTCCTCATATATACACATATGCCTTATTTGAAAAAAAATTCTTTGAATTATAGGAAATGTTATTGTTTATCAAGAAACTTGACATTTGTTTTATTGAGTCTACACTCAATGTTATTGCTGTTGTTTTATGTTAGCTAATAAATTATATCTTCACTGAAACAAATTGATGATTTTAAAAAGAAATCTTAAAAAGAAATGAAAGAAATGCAGAGGTGTCATGTATAATAGAAACTGAATTTGAAAATGGACTTTCACAGGTCAGTTATGTGTCAGTCTAGGAATACAAGATCTCTGGGGCAGAAATTGAGTTAAATAGTCACATTAGTATCAAATGTACATGTAAGGCCTTATCTTGTTGTTGTAAGGTACTTGTAAGGTACATAATGTAAGGTGCCTTGTCTCAATTAAAAAAAGTCCATATCACTACCCCTCAGGCAACCATTTTTTTCATGAATATTCTTTTGTTTGAATTTATTATTGCAAATATATATTCTATTTTATGTGCACATATTTTAAACTCATGTTTTGTGTTATAAATCACTTTCACTTTATCCTGTTTTTATGCAGAACATTTTGAAAGAACTATCCAAACTACTACTTTTACATCTAATTGCTATCAACTGTTCCATGATAGTTTAGATCTTATCTATGTATGTGATAGTCATCCGAAAAAAATCCTGCCCTAAACAGACTTTTACTCATCCTGTTATTGATAAGTGTAAGTATTTCTAGAAGCAGAATTTCTGACTCATTGGGCATAATTTCACTAACTGATAAAGGATTGTTCTTCAGAATGCTTAAATCAGTATACACTCCAATCTGCAGTGTTTATTGATTCACATGTCCCCACCTCTTTGCCAGCATGTGATGTCTTAGTTTATTCTGGATGCTATAATAAAAATATCATAGATTAAGTGATTTCAGCAACAAACTTTTCTTTCAAACAGTTTGGAAGCTCAGAAGTTCAAGATCAAGGCACCAGTAGACTTGATGTCTGGTGAAGGCCTGTCTCTTGGTTCATAGAAAATTATCTTCATGCAGTATCTTTACATGGTGGAAGGGGAACGAGAACTCTCATTTATGGAAGTTGCATTTCATAACCAAATTTCCTCCCCTAGGTCCATTTTCTCCATGCTATCACCTTTGCAGTTCAAACTTCATGTGAACTATGGGGGAAGGAGAGGAATGGAGAATTATTTGTTACTTTTGCATAGCTGAGACCAAGCTACCTTCTGCATTAGTTATTTTGCATCACTGTGACCATAATACTTGACAGAAACAACTTAAGGGTTTCAGAGGATTCAGTTCAACCTTGCTTGGCCCCATGCACTTGAACAGAACATTCTAGTGACAGGAGCAGAGCTAGCGGCTGATAGTACAGACCAGGAAGCAGCCCAGGAACCAGGGGCTGGGTGACTGGGTATACTTTTCAATGGCCTGCACTTAGTGACCTACTTTGGTCAGGGAGGCCCCATTTCCTAAAGGTTCCACACTTCCCAAACAGTGTTAACAGCTGGGGAACAAACTTTCAAAACATGAAGCTGTTGAGGACATTCCACATTCAAACTATAACAGGGGTACACAAATATTCAGCCCACTTAATATATTTTGGCAATATTTTCCTTTTCCCAGCATTGTTTGCCAACCTAATAGCTACAAAGTAGCAGTCTTTCCTTGCCCAAATTATTTAATTTGCACTTTTCTAATTACTAATGAATTTGTGCTTCATTTTCTATACATATTATCTTTTTGAGCTTTTCTATAAATTGCTTGAACATAGCCTTTGCCTATATTTCTGTTTTTTAGTCTGTTCATTTACATTGCTTTTCAGGAGTTACATATAGTTTCTAGGTATTAACAGTATGTTGATTGTGGACATTCCACTGATCCTTTTGTCTTCTATTAATTACGATGATGAAATAGAAATCTATAATTATTTTTAAAACCCCAATTTTCTTTGCCTTATAACTGTTTTGTAGTTTCTTTTAAAATTCTTCCCTGCTTGTCAACCATAAAAGTATTTTAGTCTGATTTTTTTCTATTAACTTTCATATAATATAATTAATTACATACAATGTAATTAAGACTCCATCTGCTTCTCCACCCACACCTTACTACCCACTACCACCCTCAACTCCATGTACTCTATCATTTGTCTTTTCTTTTTAAAGGCCTATCAAGTCTAATCTGTGTTTCCCAAATGTTCTTGGGAGTAGATCTATCCCTTGGCATCTGATCAACCTACCAGATGTCACACCAGGAAGGAAAACTGACTCTCCCTCTGCCAGTGTCTATCAATTGCCAGTCGAGACTCAGCTAGGACTGGGGCTTCTTGCCTCTTTCCACCCTTTCATGCTCATGCTGGGCTTTTGTCTAGCTGGATTTGCACAGGTTTTGTGCATGTTGTCACAAGTGCAGCATTTTGCTTCTTGTATTAGATCTTCAATACATCTAGCAAATGCCTTCAAATTTGGTATTAGGTAGGATTCAGGTTAGACACCACCTAATGAGCCAATTTTCAAATACAACCAATTAAGCAACGTAAGCTTTTCCCAATATGTAATATGATTATTGAGTTCATTGCATTTCTTAATACATAGGTTTTTCAGGAAAGGAAATTTGATCTGCCTTCTCAAATTGCTTGCAATCTCCAGGAAGGGATGTGAGTAGCACACATGAAGCTGAGCAGTATGGCATGCTATAATTGAGGATTAAATTGTATGTAAAGGACAATACTGCAGGATAAAGTCAAAAACAAAGAAGAGCAAGAAGGATCCCCATGGTTGGGAAAAGCTTTGTAATATTTCACTCTTACTTAAATGATACATTTGCCCCTCCCCCAGCAAAGTTTGCTTTAGAGGACTTGCAGGAAGAGCCCATGCCTCATCCTGAGCCACTCCTCTTTATTATTGCTAAATCCTAATGAGTAGAACCAGATTCTTCTCTCTCTCCTCTATGGACAGTAATTAGATCACCAAGAAAGACACATTGCAGATCCTGTTCTTCCTCATGATTTTGGCTTTACTGATTTGAATGGAGTGGAGATATAAAAGTAAAGTGAGTTCATGCTCCAATATTGCTAAAATTCATCCAATTCCCTGAGATAGGATGACAGATATAGCTATTCTATCATATCCTGTACAGAAGATTTTAGTAATCAGCCACCTGTAAAAATGATTCTCAACTTGTGGTCAGGTTATACCCAATAAGTTCATCATGCACTGAAAATATGAACCAAAAAGACATGTAATACACCTAACTAGCCAAACACCATCACTTGGCATAGACTACCTTAAATGTACCTAGAATATTTACATTAGCTTACATTTGGGCAAAATTATCTAATATAAAGCCCAATATATACACCTTTTAGATGTTTCAGGTCATTTACTAAGTAGTTCAACTAAAAAAAAAAAAAAAACTAAACACACAACATTGTAGAATATCGTTGCCCAGCTCAATGAGGTAGTATCATAGCCCATATTACTAACTCAGGAAAA